CAAACCCCACACCACACACCCCACCCCTCGCCCACTCTCCCCCCCACACAAACCCCCCCCCCCACCCATTCAGCTGGTCCGTCCAGTCAGCTGGTCCGTCCAGTCAGCCGGTCTGTCCAATCAGCCGGTCCGTCCAATCAGTCCGTCCAATCAGCCGGTCCGTCCAGTCAGCCGGTCCGTCCAATCAGCCGGTCCGTCCAATCAGCCGGTCCGTCCAATCAGTCCGTCCAGTCAGCAACATCAACAGGTTTAAAGACATTGACGCCAAAGTATCCATTAGTTCCTCATTCATTCTCTGATCGGGTCCAACCAGTCTCTTGGGTCAGGAACCACCACCAGGTCCGGGATCTGGACCCTGGTCTGGTCCAGAGCTTGTATCCTGCAGCATTTAGATGCATCCCTGCTCCAAAAGCTGGACCAATGAATGGATCAGTACCGGGCCTCTGCAGAACTCCAGCCTGAGGATGAGGAGAAGCTGAAGCTTCTCACAGAACCAGAACCAGCAGTTCCCAGAGGTTCTGGTTCAGTTTCACTTTTAATGTTGGTTTCTGGGTTCAGTTAGCAGAACCCATCCCAGCAGGAAGAGGGAGGAGTCCAGTTGGAACCGGATCGGGCTGGACCGCCTGGTGCTGGTTCACCGTTTCTGTCTGCACCCAGGTTCTGGTGTGATGATGACTCCCACTCTGGACCTGCTGCTGGTCTTTAACTTTTTATTGGACCAGAACCTGGGTGTGTTTGTGGTCTGGTTCTAAAAACAGCTTGGGTTCTGGAAGCCTGATGTGTTCGGTTTATGGGCTAACTGGGCCAAACGTCAGGACTGGTTCTGATCTGGACCACCAGCAGGCCCAGACATTTCTGAATCTTCCTAAATGAGGCTGAAGGGTTACTGTGGACTCTCCACCGTCCAAGTTGTGCCATCTCCAGAACCACTGCCAGAACCGCTGCCACAGAGCTGCGGCTCTGCTTCTGGTTCTGCAGGAGCGTCTTAAAACCAGCAGCAGAACCAGCAGCAGAACCAGCAGCAGAACTGTTCAACTTGTGTTCTGGAGCAGAACCCAGCTGGCTGCTAACAAACCATGAGCCTCTTCCTTCAGTTTCTGATATTGTCCTGCTTGTTCTCGGTCCCTGCAGACGTGGAAGAACACTCTGGACCGCTACCCCGACACGCTGCTGGGTTCCTCGGAGAAGGAGTTCTTCTACAACGAGGACACCCAGGAGTATTTCTTCGACAGAGACCCAGAGATGTTCCGGCACATCCTGAACTTCTACCGGACTGGGAAGCTGCACTACCCCCGACACGAGTGCATCCAGGCGTTTGACGAGGAGCTGGCCTTCTACGGCATCGTGCCAGAGATCATCGGGGATTGCTGCATGGAGGTAGGTCTGGAGCTGCTGCTCCTCCTGCTGCAGCAGGCATTAACCCTGCTGGCAGAACCCTAACCCCCAGATGAGTCACGGAGCAGATTGCTCTTTGAGTCGTTTCTAACCAGTTAATCTAGGAGGATCTCCCCCCTCCCCCCGCATCACAGAGCGTCTAAATCAGGAATGCTGCAGTTTCCTTCTTTATGACCTCTCTGCTCTGCGGCGCCTCCTGATTGGCTGGTAATGCCTGCATCATGGCGGTGTGCTTACGGTAGCTTCAAGGTTTTATTTCCTGCTAATGCTCAGCGTTAATGTTGGACGTTGTGCAGCTGAACTCATTAAGTCTCTGTGGAGAAGAGCTTCATCAGCCAAACGAGTAGAGAGGAAACAACCTGATGGATCTGTGGGGGTTTCTAAGCGGCCCCTCCTCCATCATGAGCTGCAGTCTGATTGTGGAGAGCTGTCCAACTGTTCTCTCTGATTTCTGTTAATGAGACCTAAACGGGTCTTCTGGGTCCAGAGAGGCTTTAATGGAGGATGGTTCTTTATTTCTTCCTCAGTTTGATGCAGAAATATGAATTCAGACTCTGTGTTCAGCCCAGTTGACGTTCTTCTTCTCCTCCTCCTGAAGGAATACCGGGACAGGAAGAAGGAGAACCAGGAGCGGCTGGCGGAGGACACGGAGGCCAACGAGGCGAACGACGCCCCGCTGCCCCCCCACAGCACCTCCAGGGAGCGCCTGTGGCGCGCCTTCGAGAACCCGCACACCTCCACCATGGCGCTGGTCTTCTACTACGTCACGGGCTTCTTCATCGCCGTGTCGGTCATCGCCAACGTGGTGGAGACGGTGCCCTGCCAACCACCCAAGGGTATGGTGAAGGACCTGCCCTGTGGCATGAAGTACCAGCTGGCCTTCTTCTGCATGGACACGGCCTGCGTTCTCATCTTCACCTTCGAGTACCTGATGCGCCTCTTTGCCGCGCCCAGCCGCTGCAAGTTCATGCGCTCGGTGATGTCGGTGATCGACGTGGTGGCCATCATGCCCTACTACATCGGCCTGGTGATGCCCGAGAACGAGGACGTGAGCGGCGCCTTCGTTACTCTGCGGGTCTTCCGGGTTTTCCGGATCTTCAAGTTCTCACGGCACTCGCAGGGACTTCGCATCCTGGGCTACACGCTGAAGAGCTGCGCCTCGGAGCTGGGCTTCCTGCTCTTCTCCCTCACCATGGCCATCATCATCTTCGCCACCGTCATGTTCTACGCCGAGAAGGGCACCAAGGGCTCCACCTTCACCTCCATCCCAGCCTCCTTCTGGTACACCATCGTCACCATGACGACGCTGGGGTGAGTGGGCCTGGGCTGGATGTCTGACATCAAGCAGATTGTGTTTTGCTTAGTGTTGTTGTCATGGCGACCAGAGCGCGTGCTCCTCGGCGTAAACAGTCAGGACACGGATTCCTGGTTCCCACCATGAAAAGAGATGAAGTGTGTGTTTTCCTCCCACACGCTGCTCGTCGAGTATGGTGGTGTGTGTTGGCTGCCCACGCTCCTCACCGCTGCCGGTGGATGGAGTGTGTGTGTGTAGGGCTGCAGCTCTGCTCTATTATCTGCTATGTGGAGCAGCAGAGTGGGAGTCAGGAAGCGGCAGGCCGCGCTGGCCGTCCTGCTGGAGGCTGCTCCGTGTCTGGAGGTCAGGAGGCTCTGAGTGTGAGCCGAAGCTGCCCTGGTGCTAAAACGGCATGAATTGCTGAGCAAACACATTAAGGTCCTTTTAACACCTTAGAGGAACCTCTCAGGTTAAGAAGGTGTCACCGCAACTTCATCACAGCGTCACTACATTCAGGTCGATTTGAAATTGCTGGTTCTCTGGACTGCTGGGTTCACTCAGACCTTCTGCAGACACTGAAGCAACGCTGTGTTTCTCCTTCCAGTAACAGGAAAATTACACCGAGATTTCTTCCCCAATAGGTTTTTCTAGACCTGCCTGGGACAGTTCTCAGGTTTCAGGATGTTTTTCCTCCTGATGGTCCGGTTGACCCGGTTCTGTTCTGCTCCATCTTCAGCTGCTGTGGTTCTCTCTCTCTGCTCTGAGTCAAACCAGCCTGTTCCCCTCCTCGTGAGTCTAATCTAGCACGTCTTTGTTTTGGTTGTATTTACCCAGAATTCCCTGCGCTGTAGTCCACGTCCTGCTTTTAGAGCGGTCTCCGGTCCGCTTGGGGAACGAATTTCAACTGCAGCAGAGTTCATTTCAGCTGAATCCAGACTGAGGTTAGTAGACGCACCAGACCAACCGAACCGGACAACTGGACTGGAGTTGGATTGAAGTGGACTGAACAGAGCTGGAGGGAATGATGCAGTCTGAGTCTCAGTTCATAAAGCTACTTGTAAGCATCTACAGGGGGGCAAACCAGAACGCCCCCAAATTCAGACCTGCCTCTCAAACAGCTCTTCATTGTTGTGTCATGACTGTCAAAGAATATTTCTCCAAATTCAAACATATTTCTGTGAATAACAGCAGGATAATAGCTGTGTGTCGATCAGATCAGATGGAGGACGAGCTGGAGGCTCCATCACATATCAGGCTAGATGGACTTCTTCCTCGTCTTCGCCTGCGGCTACACAGGAAGCTGCAGTAAAGCATGCAGTGCTGAGCTGCAGCTCTGGTCCAGACGTCCAGATGGGCTCTGCAGGTCTGGAATTTGCAGGGATCTGAAGGAAGTTCAGACAGACGCTGAGAAACCGGACCCAGCTCTGCAAGCTTTATCCTGTTATGTTCCACTCAAACAGAGGAACAGCTTCTCCGTGCCCGGTTAATGGATCAGAACATTTCCCAACAGAACCTGGGTCAAGGCGTATCATGTTTCACACACTGCAGAGCAGCTTTCAGCTCCACACAAGATGGTTCGATTAAAGCCTGACGTCTCCAATCCATCAGTTACCCAGAACCGTTTAGTCTGATTAGGGGGTTCCCTTCAGGGAGGAGTCAGCGTTGCTTTAAGGGAGGAGTCAGCGTTGCTTTCAGGGAGGAGTCAGAATTGCTTTAAGGGAGGAGTCAGA